TATATATATGTATATATATATATATATATGTATATATATATATATATATATATATATATCGGTTTAATTTTCTTACCAACATTTTCCGTTGTTTCTTTTCGCCAACATTTTTGCAATTTTCCATTATATTTTTTTTTCGTTTTCATTTTTGGGTTTTATCCTTATACCCGGTTTTACTTTAGTCTTTGATCATTTTTTGTTTTTTACGCATGAAGGACACTGCGGCCTCACACAACTGCAACTTTTATGCCAATTTTTTACGTTTCCTTTTAACCATCTCGTTGTTGTTGTCGTTGTTGTTGTGTGAAAAATGCATACGAAATGATATTCGTGTCGCATTCATTTATTATTTACTGTTAAATTCCATCATTTTCTGTTCGGTTCGTTTGTTTTTCGGTGTCTTTAAGAGTCTTTAAACTTCAACTTTATTACAATTTGCATAGTTGACAAAAATAACTCTGATTGTGTTTTTTGCCAATTAGAAAACCCCCTCCAAAAAAAAGAAAAATCAATTAAAAAACAAAGCAAATGCTGAGCATATCAACTGAAACTTATAACCTGATGCTCTGTGTTCAGACAGAGCAGCACCCTTAATGCACAGACACACACAGTAATGATGTTTACTAATTGGTTTGGGCGGGGCCCAGTGGGGGATGGGGGAAGGTGGCAAAAATCAAAAAGCTGAAAGGCAAAAATTAAACTGAACAAAAATTTATAATCAAAATTGGCTCGCTCGAATGAAACGGAAAATGAAAATGTATGTGAAATTATTTGTTCACTGAACACAGGGTATATACACACCCACACAGCCACACACACCCACACACAAATACACACGCCAGATACTCACACACGCACATAGCTTAGGTTTTGTGTAGCAAACGGAAAGCTAGCCGATACACTGAAAGAAATTTCATTGAACTTGAATGCACACACAACAAACAAAGCAGTCTATCTCACTCTCTATCTCTCTCTCTCTCTCTCTCTCTCTCTCTGTCTCTCTATCTCTTTGTGTAATTTTAACTGTGTCTTGCTCACTCGCCCGCTCGTACCAAATAAGCTAGACAGCCTCACAAGCTGCTTGGCCTTAAATAACCTCCTCTCTCTATCTGTCTCTCTCTCTCTCTCTGTCTAACTCTGTTTCTTACTCTCTCTATGTCTCTCTCTCTCTCTCTCTCTCTCTGTCTACCCACGCTCTATAACTCTATATATACCTCTCTCTATATATACTGATTTTGTTTTTGAGCTATGTTGGTTTTGGTTTAGCAAAACAATTGTTTTTGTTATATAAAAAACCCTAAAACAATAAAATCCCAATGAAAAAATTACAAACGATACTAATAATGTTTTATGAAAAAAAAAGAACAGTTACACGAATATAACCAAATGCACCTACTTTTTGATATACCCCCACTCTCCCTCCGTTCGAATAATATTTTTGAGAGCATGCTAAATATATATATATTTCCATAAATGTCTATTCTAAAAAGCTTTCTAACTGTCAAAACAAAAAACTTAAATAAAATACAAAACAAACAAAAACCCAAAAATAATATTAAAACAAAAAGAAAAACTCTTAAAACTCGTACATACACACACTCACATACATACATACATACATACATATACATACATATTGTTGGTTCTCAAATTAAGTCCAAGTACAAATCATTCAATAATTGAATATCCAACATTTGTTGTTTTCATTTATTGTACAGTTTTAGTTTAGTTACACACACACACACACATACATACGTACTCACACATACATGATCGTATATACATGCTTTATAGTTTCCGACAAATTTATGAAATATATTCGTATATTGATTGTACTTTACCAAACTAACTAAATAACCGTTAACATTTGTTCTGTTTGAGCACTAGCGAAGGACGCTAAAACAAACGTACGCACCCCAACAATAAAAGAGATCATGCATATATATATATATATGTATATGTGTGTATAGCTATATATATTTATCCAAATATATGTAGTGTACACTAATATATATATATATAAATATTGTCAGATATGCCGACAAATACAATTATATATATATATGTTATGTATATATATATGTATAACAAGCAAGCAATCCATGTCGAGTTCATCTATGTGTGTTTTGCGTGGTTTAGGCTGTTTAAATGTGGGTGACACTCCAACAACAAATTTATAAATACTAAAAAAAAATAAAATTACAAAAAGAACAAAAACAAAATCGCTGCAACAAAAGAAAAAAAAAACAAAAACAAATTTCGCACGCATGAAAATCAAAGAAGAGCAAAAAGCCGCCGCCCGCTCGCCCAGCGTAACTGTAAAACCAATAGCGTTAGCTCAGTCAACACTAGAACCTAGTAACTGTATCTCAATATATAGAAATATGCATATATTTATATATATATACATACATAGTGCCAAGCAACATCGGTGTTCTCGTAACGCCAACGAAAGCTAAATGGAAAATGCATTAAATCGCATCTTTAATTCAATTCCCGCTACTCTCTCTAGCTCCACACTATTGCTATCTCTTTCAACTCTCTCTCTATCTCTCTCTCTATCTCTATCTCACTTACCGTATATGCCTCGCCCCCTCGTCTACCCTTACCACACTCAGTCATAGTCAGCTATATGCATCCGGTTTTAGCTATGTTTTTCAGTTGAAATATGATTTACATTTGGATGAAATTTAAGAGAAATATAAATGCAAATAAAAATCAAAAGAAATTTCTAGCTAAACGCTGTGCAAATTGTAATAAATTATCAATTATACAGTCATATATATATATAAAACTCTCTCTTTATATATATATGACAAAAAAACTCATTAGTTTAGCTGTTACAGTGTATAAACAAATATGTATGAAAATTGTTAAAAACTATTTGTTTCGAATTAATTAAATTCCATGAAATTATATTAATTACAAATTTATAATTTATCTATTGTTCAGTTCATGTTCCATTGTTCTCTCTCATTTATACTCTATGGATATGCCATGCACACACACACAAACACACGCACACTCAGCTCACACATAGATACCTGCGCCATTTCAACAATTTACAGCCAATTTATTCCACCCACACACACACACACACACACACTAGCACACCATCTTACGTCTATTGTTCGAACTGCAAGCCTTTGTTCTCGACAAAAATTGATTTAGAGCAAACTACATAGACAGACTGTGCAGAATAAATTTTAGCATTTCTCAACACTCCTATTTAAGAACCTAAGCGAACGATAAATAAGTCAAGTGAGTGGCCAAAAAGTTGTTGGCCCAAACAGTTAACCGAGATAAAGTTGAATAAAACTGCAAATGGCTAAAATTTTAGAGTTTTTTTCTATTTGTTTAGCCCAGTCTCTAAGCGGGTCAAGTGAGAAAGCTAACTAGAATTAAGTATACGCAAAGCATTCGCCTACATCCGGGTCATTTCATTATAATTAAGTATACGCACAGTTGAGCGCATTCAATTCAATTAAGTGAGTGAAAAAGACTTCACTCATCTTCAATTGATTTTCAGTTGATTTTTATGCAAATATGGAAAAATCAAAATGTTTTTCCTTGTTTTTTGCGTTTGGGTGGCAAGCGCATAAAAATACTTGAGCAGCAGCCATCGAACGATGCTAAACAACATTGACACCCGGCCCAGAGTGTGCTATAAAAAGCGGTCTAGACACGACACGCCACGCCCACCCGTCCCCCATAATGCCAAACTGTAACCGCCCCGAAATGTAGCCAGCTCGTAAAAATCTCAACTTGTGTGAGTGCAAAAAATCAAGAAGAAGAAGAAGAAGAAGGCGAAGAAAACTTTTGCTTTTGGTGCAAATAGTTTTGATGGGCTTTCTCAAACTGTTTGAGTTTCGAGTTTTTGGGGTATAAGCGCTCAGCTCTTGCCTATGGGGCAGGTCAACAAAATACGAGAATTCCGATAACGGACGAGTGAGATAGAAGGTTGCAAGTAAGTAAAGAGAAGATAGAAGACGCGAGTAAGTAAGGAGCAGGAACCAAAGAAAAGAAAAAACATGTACAAAAGAAAACATATATCGCTATCTCTATCTATTTGCTACCACCCCTCTCTCTTCCTCTCTCTCTCTCTCTCTCTCTCTCTTTCGCTCCCTCTCTAGCCTATAACTTATTTATAAACATGCTAACAACCTAATGTTTTTTTCTTGTACATTTGAGTTGATTTCGTCGTTTTGTCTGCCTCTTCATTTGCAATCATTTTAATTCATACTCTTTTGTTGTTGTATATAATTCTGTACTATATTTAGACTATATGCATATATCAATATATATGTATATATCAATTTTTGTGCAATAAACATACCAATATATTATACACTGTAACGTCAAAGCTCTTGAGTTTGCTCCACGTATCGCTATCGAGCTCATATCACAAAGCAATATAAAAATAAAGCAAATAAATACAAACAAAAACAAACAACAAACTAAGCAACTTGTATCTTGTATGTGAAGCGCTTGACATAAGCAGCTAAGAGAAAAAAAAAAGGACAATGAAAAATGGCTTTATGTATAGCATATAAACACACACACACACACTCACACACACAAGCAATAATCAAAATAAAAGCCACGATTTTCGTTTGTCTGTAGACCATATTGTATAGCGTCTCTCTCACACTCTCTCTATCTGTCTCTGTCCCTCTCTGTTTGGCGTCAAAGCTTGCACTCTGCACTTAGCTCTAATAAGGAAAATACCACAATCACGTCCATGTCCAAGCGCCAGTTGAAGACGCTCGAAAGCAAGTGCATTTCGTGTGCATTATGCTATTCTAAGCAAAAGTGCAGCTGCAGCAGCAGCCACTAAATTATTCATATATAGATGCAAGATACGAGCCAAGCACAGATACAGCTGCAAAAGTGAGTAGCAACTTTTATCTACGGCCTGGCCGCCGTTTGGATACTCTTGCGAATGAAGTTGGAGTTGGAAATGCGTTATAGTTGATTCACAACAAATCGTTTCTAAAAGATTTACCCTTGCTATATGCTAAGCGATTCTTAGAGCAGCTGATCCTTTAGAAAACTTAAACCTTTTTTCATAAACCAACTCGAATTTATCCAATTTATGTACTCCATTGTTAAGAGCTCACAGCAAGGGTATAAAAACATGAAAACTTTAGCTTATATGCAGCTTATCAGTGCACACACACACACACACACGTACACACGGACACTGGCCAACAATAATATGCATAATCCAAATAAAAGAATAACAAGCAAACAAAAAAGCAATGCAACAATAGAGCAACAACAACAAAAAATAATAATAATAATAAGAAAAACGCAAGCAGCACGCAAATAGAGACGAACTAGCAAGCAAGCAAGCAAAAAAAAATACCAAAACAATATAAAACAAATAGCAAAGAAAACATAGAACAAAACAAAAAAAAAAAAAAAAATCCACTGCATCTTGTAGGTTCTCACAAAGGATAGCGTTACGGTTTCGGTGGATGCAGTGGTTTACTATCGCGTATCAAATGCGACCGTCTCTATAGCGAACGTGGAGAATGCTCACCATTCGACCAGACTACTGGCACAGACTACTCTACGAAACACAATGGGAACTCGGCATTTGCATGAGATACTCAGCGAGCGTATGACGATTTCCGGCACCATGCAGGTGAGTACCACACACACACATACACAGACACACGCATACACGCATACAACGACCGGCACACAATTGTTGCAAGCAAGGCTGCCCAAGTCCTTTATGGCTCCTGTCTTTTTGCACGTAATTGACTTATGTGCACTGTGCCAACTCTTCGACCCCCGCGCCCCCCGCCCAACAGATGCCACAAAGCATGCTGGCTGACTGCCGACTGCTGCTAATTATTCAGCGACTTTAAGAGTTCTGCACGCAAACTGAATACTAAATATTAATTGCTAATTGCAAGTTTTGCAGCAGCTGCCAAAAAATATAAATAAAAGACAGGCACGAAATTCGCCGTCATAAGCCTGGCCAGAAATGTTCAGCAAATCCAAAATTGCGCTCTACACTTAACAAAATTAAGAGCAAGTAGCTTGAACTTTTTTAGACAAATTATATGTTATAATTATTATAATTATATTATAGCAAATTGATTTTTTTTTTTAATTTGTGCTAACAGCAAAAAATATATAAACATTTTATTTGAACTAATTTTTCGAAAATTTTATTTTAATTTATTTTTGAATTTCAGAAATTTTATTTTAATTTATTTTTGAATTTCATAAATTTTATTTTAATTTATTTTTGTATAATTTGTATTAATAAAATTCTCTCTTTATTTAGGAATATTTATTTTAATTTAAATTTTATTTTAATTTATTTTTGTATAATTTTTATTAATAAAATTCTCTATTTATTCGGGATAATTTTAATGACAGATTTAAAAATATTTAAAAATAAATTTATTTCATACTCTTTAGTTTTCCTCAGCAGCTGAAGCTCCCCCAATTTTCGCTCAGTGTTGCCTCACTGCAGCATATCTCGACAGTTGCTGCGGCAGTTTAACCCAAAATCCATGAGTTTCTAGCTTTTAGCTAGATGCTTTGCAGCCACGACTCCAATTTTAGCTGCTTCTTATTTATTTATTTTGCCGTTTTACGGCCATATGAAAAATAGTTCAAAATCAGGCTGGAAACTCACGTCGAACATGGCTAGAATGCCAAGTCGGGCCAGTTGGCCAAGTTGGCAAACGCTTCGCTTGTGCCAGCCGCAAGTGCTGCAGTTTTCTTTACTTCCATTCAGTTTAACGGTTTCAAGGATGCTGCAACGACCCACAAAAACAATGTGCAAACAAAAAGAAGCAAAACCAAAAAAAAAAAAACAAGTAAAACAAAACTCCCCAAATACGAGCGACAGAAAGAAAAATGTGAAAAGCATCACAGTTAACAGCATGAAGAAGAAGAAGAAGAAAAAACGTGTGTGTAAACAAAAACTAATGTGTTTTTCTACTGCTATTTTCAAACACACACACACTCAAACACATATTACAATTTCGACACACACACACACATATGTACACACACCTGGCTATGCTATGTGGCCCAAATCATAAACAGGTTCAGCTAGACGAAGCGACCGATGCTTGGGGCATCAAAGTTGAACGTGTTGAAATGTAAGTAGTGCAACTTTTCTGTCACACACACACACACAAACACACTCACACACACACATACACACCCAAACAGTCGCACACACCCTTTACACAGGTTTCTATGTCAAATATGTAGGTTGGGTTGCGTGCCTGCTCCCTCTCTCTCTCTCTCTCGCTCTCTCTCTCTCTTTCTGTATATTTCTTTTTATTACAGTGTAGGCGTGTGTATTGGCCTTTGTCGGCTGTCATAATTTATTATTAAGCGCGCTGTGGGACAAGTGGATGCGGCCGCTGTTCCAGGCTTCAAGGTCTGGCCAGCTGACAGCTTGTCAAACACATGACCAACAAAATGGCTAGCAGCAACAGCAACAACAACAACAACAACAACATTTTGTGGTCATGTTTTAGCAGCTGCAATGGCCAAAACAACGTCAAGTATTCTTTGTTGTTGCTGCTGGCCATTGGCCCGTGTTCTCTTTTTTTTTTTCTTCCTTTGTGTGTCCCGCTATGAAAATTCTGTTACAATTTTTTTTATGACAGTCTTCGATGTCAGCTTTACGCATCCGCAAGAAATATTTTTATGAAATTAATCAGCCGATAAATTTTTGTTGTCATGTCCAATAAAATATGGTCAACATTTGATGGCCAAAATGTTGTGGATAGAGGAAGAACAGCCTATGCTCTCATAGACAAAGTTGATATGCCCTTAAGGCTGTACGAGGCTCACATGTATATAAGAACTCAATTTGTTGAGCCCTTTTTTTGTTGGTCCTGAAGTTGAAATATGTTGTGAGCAAATATTTCCGGGAAATGGATAAATTTAGATGCTTTTGTTGCGGCTTCAATATATTCCAAGTATTTGTTGCGCAGTTCATCAAAACGAAAACCATGTGAAATTTCCACGCCATTTTCTTCACACAAGACTCCCTTCATAGAGTGCGCATCAAATTTCCATTGCTCGTCAACATTTCGTCTCACATCAATCACACAGATGCGGGGCCAAGCAACGTACAAGCATCCTAATGACCTTTAGTGTTCGACCCACTCAACTGAGAGCTCCAACGGCATTGAAACTTTGCAGTTCGGGGAATTTGTTTGGCATTGTTTTCTAGTTTACAGCTAACACGAGCACGCTGCCCGGCTGGGCAAAGTGCTTGCAACATGGCTAATAGTAAACTCTTCTTCTCTCCTGGCCGAACCACAGCAAGGATGTGCGTTTGCCCGTCCAGTTGCAGCGAGCCATGGCCGCCGAGGCTGAGGCAGCACGTGAGGCACGGGCCAAAGTAATTGCCGCCGAGGGCGAGCAGAAAGCATCGAGAGCGCTGCGTGAGGCATCCGAGGTGATTGGCGATTCGCCGGCAGCGCTGCAGCTGCGCTATCTGCAGGTAGGCGTGGTCAACAAATATGCACATATACGCATATTTTTATATTAATATATACATAGATATAAGCTCATATATAACAGCAAAGTCTGTGGAAATTTTCGACATGAACATGCATTAATTTTCTTTGTATTTATTTTATTTTTGTTTTTATGTGGCTTAAATATATATTTTTTTATTGCTGCAGACTCTCAATACCATATCCGCGGAGAAGAACTCAACGATTGTATTCCCGCTGCCCATCGATTTGATAACATATTTCCTGAAAACTTCGGAGGCCACCACGCAACAGAATGCGGCTGCAGCAGTTGCTGCCCAGCAGCAGCAGGCGCAACAGCATCAGGCAATCATGCAGCAGCAACAGTACGCCCAGCCGATGCAGCAGCAGCAGCAGCCACAGCAGCAACTGATGTCGCCGCCGCCGCAGCAACAACAGCCGCAACAGCAACAACAACAGCAGCAATACCAAACGCAGCAAATTTCATCAGCTATGTAAATGAGAATGGCGAGACATAATTAAAGTTTCGGCTTGGCCGAATTTCGAATGCGCTGCGTGAAAACAGAAAGAATCTAAAAGAGAAAACCGCAGTTGGTTGTAGCCGACTGCATGATGCTCGTTCATGATGAAATTAGAGTTGAAATGAGATATAGAAAATACCAGAATAGAGTCGAATTTAGAGAGAGATGTGGCAAAGTTCAGATAAGGTATGCCTCAGAGGGCGTGGACCACAATGCCTAAAGACAATTGGTAGAGTAGAAAATATGACAAACAGACTTAAATGAAACATAAGAGAACAAAGTCAAGCAAACTGAAAAGATTTTAGAGAATATGAGATGTAGTAAAAACACTTGAAAGATATTTTCTTAACCGATTTGCCATGCCCCCAGGTGCATACCTTATATAAACTAAACATATATTATCATAGACAAACCTATTCTAGATCAAGATAAATATTCACATCATGAACGAGTATCGAAAGTGTAGTAAAACTTGTAAGGTGCGCCACTGCCATGTTAATTAACATAGCCTTAACAGAATGTTTGCAGCATTACATTCGAATATGTACACCCTGTGTTAAGTGCAGCGCATTCCACACACACACACACACACACAGACAACACAAAAGTACTGCATACAAAGATTCTGTATAGAATCAAAAATTACAAAAAAAAAAAAAACCAATTTAGTTCTAGACACCAAGAAGTGCGATTCGTATGCATGCGTATATAATGATATACATATATAACAGATCTAGGTACAATACCTAATTGCCCCAAAAAAAATGTCAGGAGAAAAGCTAGTGAAAATTCTAAAACCAACCAGTTTTGAGAATATTAAAATGGATTAGTAATCCGATACTAATACATTTTGATATACTCAAAAATGGTTGGTTTGGTTTTGAATTTTCGTCAAATCTAGTTGTTTTTGACAGAAGTTTTTGAATAGTTTTCGAGGCACATCTATGTATTAGTGAAGTTTTTGTGTTTTTGTAAATGTCTAGATGATAAGCGATGTTAATAAAATGAATGCAATAGGTAAATTTCTGATATATATATATATATATATATAGTATACATACTCGTATTGCATTTACAAATTGCTCTATAGCTGTGTGTGTGCCAATTGTGATAGAACAATTTGTACAGCTCGTTAGCTCGTTAGCGCAGCAGATCGAAAGGAAAACTAAGATTATGTAACTATATGGCCATAGAGACAAGGAATACTACATATATAAATATATAATCGATCCACTGGCATATATGTATATACAAATCTATACTTGTTTACAGAGTTCATCTGATTGGTCAGTCAGCAGCCAGTTGAACGGAATTCGCTTTCAACAGCTGCCTTAGAAGTACGGTATATGTATATGAATATATACTACATACATATATAGACCCAAAGAAAAGCCAATACAAAACAAAGAACGTTCTCATATACAATAAATAAATGTAATACGAATTTATTGTACATACAATATTCACAAATCGATAAACCAAAACAGAACTGTTTTTTAGAACTTAATAGAACATACAATACGAATATATACATATGTATATTACATATATATATATATACAAATAGTGCAAGCATTCAAACATTCTAATCATACGTTGGCCAGTTACGTCGATATAGTTATTATAGTAGGGTTTATCCAAATCGAAATTCAAATTCAAATTCAAATTACAATTGCTTAGAATACATTTGCTTAGTCTTCATTCCAATTCAGATCGTTGCATTAGAAATGCATTAGCAGTTCATTAGCCTTTCACACACACTCAGAGTTTACTTTTTCGCGCACTTCATTAAACAATTAGCAAATGAATTCTATATATATATAAAACAATAATCAATTACATAAAACATACGAGTATATATATATATTAATTATGTACATTTTTGCCTTTGAACAATTTTTAAAAACGAAACGATTTCATTATTACTTAAACATATATATATATATATACACATATGTATATATACCTATATTCAAATGAGAAACGTACAATAACAAAAATAAAGCAACTTTTTTGGCATACAAAAAAGCGAAAAACACAAAAATCAAACTCGTTTTAATTCTACTTATTATTATTTTTTTTTTTGGCAGCAAAGATTTCGTAAATTACTTTTAAGAGCATAAAAAATGTTATGCCTGCACTTTAAGAGAAATGTTACATATACGCACTTCCAATCTGCGTGCAGCAGCTTCCAATCATGTTAAGTGCAATTTACGATACTCAAAAAGAAACGGACAAATATGGAAGCCGCTGCTCTCATATAACTTGCACATTTGCTCACACTATCTGTCTCTTTCCCTCTCTGCAGGCCACATACAAATTGTCACTCACAGAAAAGATGGCGATCTGACAAGCAAGGAACAAGGGAAACAGAAGGAAAAAGAAGACTATAACAAAGCTGAAAAACTGCGTTTTTAATAAAATTGCAGGCTAACATATAGAATAGTATTTAAGAAGGAATAAATATAATATGCAGCAATATAAATATATATATACATATCTTTACTTATATTGACTTACTGCAGCAGCTATTAAAACGAACCATTTTCTTCTTCCAACATGCCAGGCCAACATGCGCGTAGAGCTCTTTTATTTTTAATATACAAATGGGTTAATTAAAACAAGCACTAGCACTCGCACTAACACATAAAAAAAAAATAGCCTTCAGAATATTTCAAGAGAATATTATTACGCGGAAAAATATGCGGCTGCTCCGACGACGCGACAGCAGCCAAAGGCGGACGAATTCCAACTAATTTATAATGGAGATCGTGATTTCCACATTCCAACAGGAAAGAGCGAGATAGATCCGAAGGAATCAAAGTGGTAAACGAACAACAAAATGCCTTGGTACGTTACAAAAGGATTTTAAAGAACGTTAGCTAAGACACAAACCGATAATTCAATTCAGCATTTTGGGCAGCCATTACACTTCAAATCGTAAAGGTGTTACGATATTGAAGAATGTATAATACAATATATGCGCTGTAATTTAAATTTTAAATTAATTTAATTTAAATAAAAAAGTTATGAAAGAGCACATAACATAGTAGTTTGCTTTAAATACAGTACATTTTACAGCAGAAATAATTAGATGCCAGCCTTGCATTTAGCTGAGACTTGAACCAAATATTTAAATTCAATTAGCAGAGCCACAAACCGCAGCTCGTTTAGATCGTAAGTATATGGAATCGCAAAAATTACGACATTCATGCTTCTAAGAAAGAGAAAAAGAGATAATATAATTGTTTTATTACATATTTTGTTCATTTATTGATTTATTCGAATGCATTTTTCGTTATACACCAGCTAAATTCAGTTTGCATTATTATAGCAGAGTTCCATACTCGAGTTTTTGTTTTTTGTAAGTTTTATGCAAATATCTCTGTTTATTTATTTTATTTTATTTTTTTATAATGTCTATAATTAAACATATGACAGTGTTTAGTTTTTCCTTTTTTCAATGATTTTTACTTTTGCTTGAGCAACAAACGGGACGGCTATTGGCGGCACACCCACTAAAAAAGGCGTTAGAGTGGAAAATTTTAGAAATCTATCCATTTGATTGTATAAAAATTGTTGTTGCTGTTGTTGTTGTTGCTGCTGCTGCCACCTGAACCGTTAGTTGTTGTTGTTGCTTATTGTTTATTTGTTGCTATATTTGTTTTTCATTTATTATTATTATTATATTTATATTAATTCAATTCAATTTCATTTATTGCTACACATTATGTCAAGTAAATATATATTTATATATATATATATATACAAAAAATTCATCAACTACGCTAAACAATTTCACTGTTGCTTATCATTTTCTTTTCGTTTTTATATTTTTTAATTATAACAAATATATTTAAAGTTAAATTTACGTTGAATGCAGTTTCATACAATGATTAATTCAAGCTGCCTTAGAGAATACTCTATGTGTGTGTGTGTGTGAAATGCATAAATGTTTTTGTTCTTTACATATACATATATAGATGTACATATATACTTATTTCTCTTCTTCTTTTTATATTACGAAATGCTAAACTTTGGTTTTATGCTACAAAACACATAAATTGAAACATTAAGAACTTAAAAACTATAACAAAAATAATAATTGAAAGCAATAAATTATATATATAATATATAGATAGATGTGTGTGTGTGTGTGATTGTTTATATATAGTAATTGTGATAAGAGTTCTGATTGATCATATGTGATATAGCTATATATATATATCATTTATCCATTTGAAACCCTGGAGACTTCAGTTTATATGGCTTTTTGACTTGGTTTCGTTTTTGTTTAGAGCACAAACATATAGAGGAGAGGAACTAAATGTGAGCTATAAGGCTATAAAAATATATATATATAGATGGATAGATCTAAATATATATATATTTAGGTGTATATATATTTTTTTTGGACAGTGCTTAAGTATACAAAAGAAAGTTTCTCATAATTTTGGCATCAACTTAATATTAAAAACAAAAACAACAACAAAAATATTTAAATTTAAATTTCAAATTTTCGTAAATTTTTGTATACATTAATTTGTATTTTTTTAGCCTCAGCATTTAAAAAATAAATGATGATACTTGGAAGTAGCTGGTCGGACTCGCTATATCAAGTTAAATGCCAACATTATAAATTAACTATATCAACTACAATGTTTCTTTTCTTGTTCATTATTTTAATTGATTGTGTTAAATAATACTTCAAGTTTTACATATCAAGAGGAAAAACTAAATTAGTTCAGCATTAAATAATTTTTGAGTAGAAACGAAGCACAGAAATTTGTTTTCTTTTTCTTTCTTTCCTTTTTTGCTTTTTGTAAATTTGAATTAGAAAAGTTTTTAAAATTGGTTTTTGCCATATATTTTTGTTAGGTTTGGGGGTTTCTTTATCTTCTTCTCAGTTTATTTTATTTATTTTTTCTTTTTGGTTAGCTTACAAAACTAGTTAAATACTTGCTAATTCAATAGTACATACAAGTAGGTATATAAATTATAAAATAGTTTTCTTTCGCGTGTAAAATATAAAATATTTCATTTGCATATATATACATACATATATACGCTTATACACATATACATATACATATATATAGAATAATTTTATACGTGTTGCAGTTGTTGTTAATGCCTTGCCATTGTTTTTAAAAGTCTTAAGAATTATAGTAAATATGTATAAATGTGTTTTACGTTATATATATATATATGAATAACGTTTAATATATATATATTTATAGATGTGTGGGTGTGGGTGTGTGTGTGATGTGACTGTTGCTGCTTAATCCTGCACCTCTCGATACGG